AAAATACCCTTTTAACCTAGATTAGGAAACTCCTTTCCTTTTAGGTTCTTTATTTTCAAATTTGAAACTAACCTCCAAATTAAAAAATCAATTTCTAAAATAGAAAAATTTCTATTTTAGGAAACTTTCATTTTGGAAACTTTCTATTTGAGGAAACTTTTCATTTTGAAAAACTCTTTTCAAAATAGGAAACTTTCATAATTATATATTTTTTTCAATATCTTTGCTTCTCATTTGTAATGTGAATACTTGAACTTATGGTTGTGACTCATAGGCTCCTATATATGTTGGCAATGTATCAAGAATAAAAGACTCATTTTTTATCTTTTGATACATAAATCAAGATTGACCTCTAGCAAGGCATCATGACTACCCAATTCTCTAGGAGGATTAGTTAATCTATTATTACCTCTCACAAGCATAGTTACCATACAATTCAGTCCTCATGTCAACTTATCACGAGTGTGATCTCAAACTTAGTTATTAGTCTTGTTTGATTATGATCACAAAAGTTTTCTTTGATTCCCAAATGTCTTAGCTCTTAGCGTAAACCAACTATGCTCTATTAGTGTACTCCTATTGTGGTCACAGATTTCTTAGCGGACATTTATCGAAGTGCAAAGTGATAACTCCTTTAGCATACAAGGAATGACATATCTTGTCTTAGTTATACACCTATCTCCATTGAATTCCTAATGTATCCAACGAATCGCCCACGTGCAACCCATTAATGGGTCCATTGAAATGAATGTCAAAGTGCATAAGTCTCCAATGAGATAACCATGATGACTTCAAGTCTACGGATAATTTGTATCCATCTCGTATGAGATTCCCATAGACTAAAACCAAATGGGTTCTCATGGCGAGTCAAGTCTAGTGATATGTTCTTTAACATAAATCACCTAAGTGTTTATTTTGGCATCACTATGCCAATAGGTGTAAGATCTCCTACTGCTATCAAATAGCATGAGCATAGCAATCACAAGTCTATCCGTATTTTTTCAATGTCCATTCTTGATAATGCTACAACTAGGGACATTTAATGATATCATTTACATGATTTAGTGTTTGTCTCATATTTTTCGATCAATCACTATTGCAAATGCATAGCATAAGAACTTCTATCTAATTCTACTGAATTTATCAACATGTAAACATAAGAATTAATTGAATGACTTCTTTATTATTATTAAAATAAATACTATAATGATATATTAATATAAGCCTATCCAAACATGGTTGGATCTCGAGCACCAACACTAACATTAATTTATTGTTTGTGTAATCATTTAAAGTATTTGTTAATTAAAAAAGATGTAATTTATAGGAGAGAATTTGTCAAAATTTTATTAGATGTTTAAAAATTTTTTTGATTAAATAACTTTTCCTAGTATACATTTTTAAAATGTTTATTGTGCATTTGGAACGTGTTGAATTTTATAGTGGTAGTGTTTTCGGTAATAAGGGAATATCAAATTTACTGATTTTTATTTGTTTTAATTCATGATAATTTATAATATATTTTAGTTGAATTATTATTCATTCATTAAACTATTTCAAGTGTTATTTTTAAGTTATGCCTTATGGATTACATAGATCTAGCGAGTGGAGTCGGTGGTCGAGGCTTTGATCTTGATCGTGCGATTAATAATGGTGGTGTATATGGACATGGCACTTGCTAGTGCAACCGCCGATGATCACGGACTTGAAAGTGGTGCTTAGGACGTTTGCATTCCATTTAATAGTGTCCTTGTCGGTTATGCCTCCATCAATAGTGCCCTTACTAGTTATGCCCCTACCAATAGTGCCGTCTTGTGAATGATCTCATTATGATTTTTTTAGCTCAAAAAAGTTCTATTGGATCTAATAATGGATGGATCATTTGGGTCGTGAATAACTAATAATTAATATGTTTTACATGAGATAATTAGTCTTATTTTTTATATATTGTATTGGAATCATTTATTTATTTATTATTTATTTTTTTCAACGAGTTTGGTTCAATCAAGCAAGTGCTTCATAAAAATTATCGTAATTTTTAAGAAGCGGTTCAACTTCGCTAGCTCCACATGAAAGTTTGTCTCCATGGAGATGAAAGATGTCTACTTTAAAGACTTTAGGGTAATTATTTGCTTATATTTCACTTAAAGTGTTAATTTAAAATGAAAAGTACTAACATTATTTTTTTTAATGTAGAAGTATTTTTATGGGATGTGACCATGCACGTACGACTGGGAGAGTTTAGCATGGAGGTGGTATGACAATATGTTTAATAAGCTGAAGCATAAGAGTAATAAACTTATATTTGTTAAACAAAAAGTGTGAAAAGCATGGTGTCGAGATTGGATCGCTCCCGAGTATTAGGATAATCGGCTATTTAGCAATCTATATTAGTGGAAGTAGCGACGACATGATGATGAATATGAGATCGGATAGATAATTGTTTTAGATTGATTTGGAGATAAAAATTTAACAAAATAGCGATGAAAAAAATTTCGGTTGCTAAGGAAATAATGACCACCATATTAGCAACGAAATTAAAATCGTTTCTAATTCATTGCTAAAGTTATATAGTGATTTTTTACATATAATGGTGAAAAAATCCGTCGTTATATACTAGATTTTTTGTAATGTATAACTCTTTGTTTAATGGCTATAGAACAAGACATGAGAATAGAGATGACGTGAGAACTCGGGGATCCAATAACACCGATCCAATGGACCATAGAGATTTTGAAGCAAAAGCAAAAGAGAAAGTCGGCTAGATTGTAAATATCTGGACAAAGCACTTTCGGTCATAGACTAGTGAGATGCACCTAAGAATGGCAATGGGCCATCCTTGGCCCACCCATGATAATTTTGCCCCTTCCCACCTCATGCCCCAAACGAGGCAATATTTCTCATACCATCCCCACCCCAAACGGGGACGGGGATCCTTGTGAGGCATCGGTGCCCCTTTTAATTTTTTATTTTCGTCTCGTCTCGCTCCATTTTATTATCAAATTTCAAACTATAGTAAAAAAAATGATAATTCATATAGAAAATAAGCCTTACGACTCGATAGTTACGGATTTTATATAAGGTATAATTGTAATTTCATCGATAGAACGGAGCAAATGGGGTAGGGCGAGCAAATACCATCCCCACCCTATCCCAATTCAAAATCAAGATAGGGTGGGGCGCCTCGCCCTGTTCCTTAGTCAACTCGGAGAATCCATGCATTGATCGGGGTAGGACGAAACGGGGTAAATTGACATCCCTAGATGCACCACCTTCGGCTCTAGTACCATAAAAATTTCTAGGAGTGAAACTTTCTAAGAGAGAATTCTTTTATTTTTTACTATATACCAAAAAAAAAAAAAAAAAATTGAGCTAAGATACATATTTATAATCAGAGAAAAAGATTCTTCTACTCTACAAAGAAGGAATAATAAAATCCCTAAATTATATAATCAGCTAACAATGGAAACTAACTCCAAAAAGATTAGAAGACTAATTATCCATTTTCCAAATAGAATGACTCGTCATATCATCCCCAAATCATTCTAATAAATGGAGATTTTTCTACAAATAGAAAAACTAAAATTTATCTTCTCAATCAAAAAATATTATAAAAAGTTATCAAGTAATACTGAAATTTGCCCTCTGCAACTAGAATTCAGAGCATAATGTTGCCTTTTATAATCCTCGTTTGAAGCTTTCAACTCATAATGTTCATGATCTGACCTGATCTTAACATATTAGATTAGCTTGGCAGATAGTAAAAGGCCATTGGAAAGCCCAGTAGCCATACGGATCCAAGTCCAACTCAGTATACAATGTTAGAATTTTTTTATTTTTTTATTGAGAAATATACGACCATAGAATTCAGATAAAAGAGTAGAAAAAAGAAAGAAAATTTTTAAGATAAGGTGAATACTAAGAATGGGACCCAATAAACGTGTGGGACCCATGAGGAGAGAAAATAAGATAATTTGCAAAGTATATGAGGTCATTTCACTGTGAAAGAAGCAAGAGAGTTGATCAATTGATTAAACACACTATTATAAGCACTAAAACATTCCTCATGCGGCTGATCCTAATGTAACCCTTTGATGTGGTAGTTTTCTTGCATCAATAATATAAGTTTGCTCTCTCCAATGCATTGAATCAAGATAGCCGCATTTGTACAATTTATTACTGCTTCTATTACAAGCCTATACATACGTCCCTTTTGGGTTTGAATCGAATAATTTCCATGTCCCAACCGGGTGATTCTATTTTATTATTATTTTTTTTTTATGCCCTCGTATTCTTCTGTCTCTACCTTAATCAAGGGGACAACCCTTGATCACCAAGAAAAGGACCACAAAAATTTTGAAACTGTAGATACTGTTGTGGAATTTTAGAGGGGAGGATTGTGTTTTTTAAACCCAATGACTAGACCAGCATGTACAAGTTTAAGATTTGGAATGAAATACTTATATACAAAGATGAACTCATAATTTAATCGATTAAGTTAATGGATAAATTTAAGTATCCATCACGTACGGTATTCAAGAGCCTATAGGTTTTTTAACCGAATCTTCCCAACAAAATGATTAGAGGGATTTTGCAGCTTAATTATTAAGAATTTGAAAAGTTTACAACAGTATGGGTTCTATGTAGAATCCTTTAGTTCAATAGTTAAAGCATCTGGCACATGGAATTACTTGTTCATGTATTCAACGATGCTGGTAAGTGATGCAGAATATTCAAGTGCTGTAATGTGTCCTCGTGTGGTTATAATTAAGACTTTAGACTATCGAAAAGGAATGTCTGAAAAGGACCTTTAAACTTTTAAACCAGGTATCTGATCAATGGGAACGTGGTTTTTTAAATGCCTTACAGGAACGAAGAGTAATTGCGAAGCAAACTAAGCATCAAGGTTTTAATTCTCATTTCCCAACTGTCATTCTTCGAAATTCAGCAACTTTAAATTGCCAAACGATTCGATAGAATGACTCATCATCTGGTGCGTTATGCTTGAATTCCTGCCGCGTTCGCCTGTAAGTCATTCAGTCTGCACCAGCGGTAAGAAATTGCCAGTATAGGTGCATCAAGAATTTTTAAGCCTAAGAAAAATTAATTTAAACTATAAGAGTTAAGAGTCTAAAACTGAGTGTTATTATCATCGAAAGCTTCATCTGTGTCTGTGTGACACTGTACTTTAGTATATATAAAGTGGTAACACATGGGGATAATAATGTGTTAAGTGTTACTGGATTTTTTTAATTTCAAAAATTAGCTAAAAAATGAGGTTTTATCTCATATTTATAACCAAGCACCCGACTCTTTTTATAACCTATAAGGATAACTCAACAATCAACACAGAGCATAAAAATACAAACATACCAAAATATACCAAAGCAAGAGCAATATAAAACTCAGCAGATTTTCTTGCCAGCTTTCAATTCCTCTAATTCCATGTCTCTCATTTAATTAAGCAGAAACTAGTGGAAGGCTTTCCAATAAAATATGCAGAGCGTGCACACAGTGTATACACATAGATAAATCGGTTCAAATGATTAGGACATGTACACAAGTCAACAGAGAAGCCTTAAAATACGCAAATCCACCTCTTTCTTAGTGTTAAAAATTCTAATATCCTCCATGACTTTAGCTGTTCAGTGGATTAAAGCACAAGTTTCCAAGTAGATTATAATCTCATCAATGTTGTAGGATAAACATAGCTTAGCTAGCTGTTAATTAATGGATTACGCGTCTGCTTTTATATATATATCCCTTACAACATTTTCCATTCTCCTTCCTTTCTATTGTTTGTGTGAAATTAGCTAGCCTTTTCTATTGTTATGGCTATACAAAGCGATCATCGTGCAGCATCTGAAGGAATCCTAGCGAATGTTTGGGCAAGCTACATCGGAGAAGATAAAGGAGACAAAGGAATCAGTAATAGTGAACAAGAAGTGTCTAAATCGTGGCAGGAATTGCCTAGTCTTGATAGGAGAGACGTGTCAATGGAGGTTCTACAAAGGCTACCAAGTCTAGGCAGGTGGATATCGATGGGTGCTGAGACCTGGGAGGAACTTCTTGATGGAATAATTCCTGAAATTAACAATAAAGACCATGGGCGCAATGATAGCGCAGAAAACAAAGGCCCCAGCAGCCTAAGCTCCAAAGAGAATACTGTGAAAGTAGAGACTGTGACTACCAGACACTACAGGGGAGTAAGGAGGCGGCCATGGGGAAAGTATGCAGCGGAGATAAGGGACTCGTCGAGAAAAGGAGCTAGAGTTTGGCTTGGGACTTTTGAAACAGCCGAAGAAGCAGCTTTGGCTTATGACAAGGCTGCTTTGAGAATCAGAGGCCCCAAGACATACCTCAACTTTCCACTTGAAACAGTAGCTAAGGCTATGGGCATTGACTGCTCCAAAAATGACTACAACGTTTTATCCACCACAACTTCGCAAGGGAACGACACGTCTTGCACATTTGTGGGAAGCAGTGACAAAGTTCCAGTTATCCCTAGAAAAAGGGTATCAAGAGATTGGGAAGTGAACAGTGAGTTGACAATGATGGAACAACCTGGACTTAAGAGAATGGCTTGCGTAGAAGGATTGTTTCCGAATGATTTCGACGTGGTAGAATTTCAGGACCTAGGGAGTGACTACCTGGAAAGTCTGCTGTCCTCTTCATAAAATATATAGCATAGGTATAATTGTTTCTACTTCTTACACATACTTTGTTACCCATGTGGAGTACTGTCCATATAGGAGTTCAAAGATGGTTTGGATAATTTGTAATCAGGTTTTGCATGTCTAGTGATTAAAACATTCCTTTTCTTCCAATTCCAAACGATCGATTGCAGGGTATATATGAGATAGCCAAAGAGAGAATATTAGGACCATGTTTTTGTGCCATGTAGGAAGCTGTTGATGATTTAACAAGGGCTAAATTAATCTAGTAGTAGAAATGTAGAACTTTAATATTAATATTTAAATATTTAATTAACTCCACTTATTTCATGAGGACAAGAGAGACACTACAATTCTCTCTCTTTTTCTTTCAAAAATAAAAAAACTTTCTCTTGAACTCTGATTTGGACAGCCGCCGAGTTCTTTTTATTATTATTTTTTTCCCTTCTTTTCTTTCATATTGATGAGACTTTTACTATCTTTTTGTTTACTTCCTTCCTACCATTAGAGCTTTGATTAGATTATCTGAATAAGATGTCTCCAGATCTAGATTTGCTCTTTTTAATAAAAATTTTGAAATTTTATTTTATTATTTGAAAGATATTGATATCCATTGAAAGTAGTCTACGATTATAATCTTTTGTGGCTCGTTTTCTCGCTGATCTATGATAGTAAGAAAAGTCCCATTTTAGAAATCTTGATCAGAAAAGTTTTAAAATATCTATTTATCGTCCATGAAATAACTAGATGTGATGCCTGAAAAACCATGATTCGCTGACCTTTTCCAAGGATTTTGTCAGATTTATTTTATTGTAATGTTTGTAAAGCGTTTAATTTATTTTTTTATCAATTAATATTTAAAAAAAGGCTATAATTTGTTTTCTGCCTCGTCTATTTACACTATCATAAAAGTTAAAAATCGATATTTGTTTAAGCTGTTGTCATCCTGCAAAAGCAGAGAAGGGAAAAAATAAGTTCATTAGTTGAAGGACTATTTAAGGTAAAAGAAAACACCATCATAATCAAATTAAGCATGATAAAATTTTATGGAAAAATGATTTTGAGTCCCTTGGAAGCAGTGAAGTTAGATCTTAGCTCCTACTGCTCTAAAATCTACTCGTCAATCCCTAAAAAGAACAATCTAAACAGAAAAGGGCGCAAAGGGACTTGGGCTTTGTTCAATTATAAGCTTTAGGGACTGAAGGTTTGGTTTTGAAAGTTCAGGAACTAAAGTTAACTGCATGGAAATTGTAAAGATTACAAATACTATACCCAATCATGCTTGAACTCTCCCATATTTAATACTTATTTGCTGTGAGGGTGGCTGGAGTCTTACAGGCGAAAAGAAGGTCGAACAAGAAACTAGACAAAAAAAAAAAAAAACTTATATTGATACTGACGCATAGATTTTTTATTCTTAAGCTGAATTGAAGAGTAGGTGGGTCTTATAAAGGAAGGTTCAAAATCGATAACTGATCACAGCAATTTGGGTCAAATTTGATAACAACATATAGCTAATTCAACACATCTACGTAATATGCATATCTACCAACCAAATTCTTGGACCCTTTTGACAAGTGGTTTTGTCATTAGTTTGAGGTACGGTAGAAAAGTGGTTTTAAAGTTTGGTTTGGTGACACGCACCTAATATTTTTGCCTCTACTTTTACATATCGAATTGATTGGGATCTCTTTTATTTATGCTGAAGGTAATACTATTCCTGCGATCACTTACCTATTCAAGTTCAACGTTCCAATTATAATAACATGCACACGATATTGGAATATTGAATTGAGTCGAGTCAATTGCATGGCCCAATGTGGAAATGATAAAAGTAAGAAAAAATGAAAACGAACTCCTACACCAAGACTTCTCCACCAAAGCTTGATCTCTTGGCCCAACCTCAGCAACTCCATTTTTACGGCACTAAATCATGTGTAAAATGCCCGCCTCGGCCACCATTGCATATGAAATGCCACAGAACCAATTAATATCAATTAATTGATCTTTATGATGGGTCAAAATAATTTGTAGATTAAATATTTAGCAAGACGAATTTATGTTACATTTGTTCACCCAAATTGATTTTTTTTTTCAAAAGACTATTTCTTTATTTAAAATGATCGACTTGAGTAGAAAAAGCTCTAATCATTTTAACAAATAATCTTAAATTCAAGTCTTTGTATATATATATATAAAAACTTTTTATGTAGTTGTATTCATTTTGTGCATTCTACTAAATCACAATAGATTAATTAATCTAGATTTTTAAATTTGAGATATCCCGAGAATCTAAAAGAGAGGGAGATAGAGAGAGTTTTTTTTTTTTTTGGGTTGAATTTTTACATAAATTAAAAATATTTTAAAAAAATTACATCACTTAAAATTTTGACTATACGAATATTTTTTTAAAAATATAAATAAAAAATTGTACTATATTGTTAGAACAGAAGACGTATTAATTAGTAAAATCTTGATGCAACATGACAATTTTTTAGATGGAAAAGTATTGGCCATCCACGTCAATTAATGTGTGAACCACCGTGAGGCAGGCATCTAAGAATTCAGGAAGTTTTTCTTCGCAGTTATCCTGTTTTAGAATTTTCGTTTTTCTTTTTTATGCAATATGTTTAATGATCGAACTTCTCAGAACAGATTGGATTTATTCTCATTAATAAGTTTCATATTTCATTTCCTTGCTCTTGACCTTGTGGCCTGCACTGATCGTATTACAAACCAACACTCTGATGATGCAATTACATTTGCGCATTTGAAGCAGTCTCCAAACCATACAAACTGACCTCCTCTTATATACAAATGATTATCATAGACAAAGCCCAAAAAAAAAAAAAAAAAAACAAGAAAAATTCATTTAATCCTATAGTGTAACTTGATTTATGACGTTCCAGGTAGAGATTTCACTAGCTATCTCAACAAATTTAAGCAAAAGCAACTGATTAATTCTCTACGATACCAGACCCCGTATGGCGGGACTCCCCAGTTGTGCTACTCTCTGATTCAGATTGTGATGTTGCAATTGTTATTGTGCTACAGCTACCACATGAATCCATAGCTTCTTTACTCAATCTTTTCGAGCTCAAAATGGGCTGAAAGTTTTGAGTTGATGTAGCAGCCACCACTTGAGCTGGAAAATTAAGAAGGGCCTTAGAACCACGCATATTAAAAGCAGCCCTATCATAAGCCAGGGCAGCCTCCTCTGCCGTTTCGAATGTGCCTAGCCAAATACGAGCCCCGTGTCGTCTGGAGTCACGAATTTCGGCCGCGTATTTGCCCCATGGCCGACGTCTCACCCCTCGGTAGTGCTTCTTTGCTATGGCTGTCCTGGCTGGCTGGAGCATGCTTGAAGTGTTGATGATTTGGCTTCTCGGAAGCATATTGTTATTATATGTGCTGTTTGGGACACCGCCCTCATTGATCATGTGGTATAGGACCATGTCTTGTGAGTCATTCTCGTTAAAAGGGAGCTCCTGACTTTGGGAGGTTAATCCCATGGTTGAATTTGCTTCTTGTTGTGAATGAAGGGGATTAGGCCGCTATTGATTTTGTGGGAATTTGGAAGAAGCTTGAAGATTGTACAATGGGGCTCTAGACTTGTATTTAAACCTCGAGCGGGCAAGGCATAGGTTGTGGGCCTGCGTTATTTGGAATTTTTTTTTAGTCATCAGGAAAGTAAGAGGAACCAACAGAGAGAACAGTGCTGGACAGGTTTTTAAACGTGGTGGTGTGTGCAGGTGTGGATAAATTTGTCCCTAATAAGGAAAAAAAGCACACCAATGGAAAATGTTGTTGTCGTCAACAGAATTTTATTCATACGATTGTAAAGCGTCATTCTTGACTTTTTACGGTATCATTGCCTCAAGTTAATTGAACTTGCACACAGACAGAAACATGTGCAGATACTGTGTAAAGCACAAAGCCTATTCTTTCTTTGGTGAACTGGACCATAGGGTGAGTCAAGTTTTGGGAAAGGAATAGTAATTGTACTAGAAGACATGGATTTGAATTAGTAGTGAGAAAGGCACCAGGTGGCCTAACTTTTCCAAGATTGCATGGAAATCGGACACACATGGGCAATCCAACAGTTGGTGCTTGGTAATTTTACCGATCGATCACTATCAATTTCTGCCAAACAAAACAGCTTCTCAGTTTTGTGACGTGTTTGATCTGGAAATGTTCCGGTTTGCTTGAGATACAGCTAATAAAAGTTACAAAAGACCTGTATTTTGCTTGCTGTACGGTGATTACCTTATGTTTTCTTTTTTCCTCGGAGGGGTTGCATGATTACCAAATGTTGTATGGACAGTTAACAAGTACAATAGGGTCATTGCTCCCCAAAATTGTAATTGAAACTCCCAATAATTACAATTTGGGTTTGAGTAGTTGGTTGATGACCTCACGAGCATGAACATAGGAAGCTATTGGGAGACTATTCTAGATGCTGACTTGACAATCCTGTTGAGCTCATCACAATCGTAAGTACTTTGGTTGCTGGGTCGCTTTCATGATGCCATCGGATAAATCTTTATCTAATCATGTGTGATTCAATCAATTAAGGGAAGAAGAAAGAAACCAAGAAAAGAAATTGAAAAATAGAAGGGTCCTTAATTTATTCAAGAAACAAAATAAAATTATTTGATCAGGAAAGAGTGTGTTAATCAAAGACCAAACCAAACGTTCACGTGGTTGGAAATGTAAAACGAAGTGAAGCTAACATCATGACTGCAGGATCTTTTTTTTTTTTTTTTTTAATATTTTTTTCGTATTTAGAAAAAAATTTAATGAAAAAAGAGTTTCAATCAACGAAAAATAATAGAGTATTTTTGAAAAAAAAATATTTTCTCAGTTTAAAAAGAGGAAAACATTTTCCTTTTCACGAGTCATTTCGTTATCGCATTTCTTACCTCTCTCTCGATATATTTTAACAATTTTTTTCTCTATCTTCTTCTTATTTAAAATGTATCAAATTAATTTTTAATTATTCCTTATTAATTATTAATTATTATTTAATTATTTTTTCTCTATTTCTACTGATATTTGATTTTTTTTATTTATAGATACATTAAATATTCTTACAAATCATTTTTACACCTTAAATTTATTTTTATAATAAATATTTTAATAATTTATCTTTATTTTTTTACTATTATCTCACACATCACTTACATTATACTTAAATGATTGAAAATGATTATTACAAGACTACAATTTTTTATAAAAAAAATTAAAATTAATTAATTTGTTAATAAATATATTATTTTTTCAATACTATTCATTTGCAACTAAATCAATAATTTATAATTTTAATCAGTTGTAAAATTTTGTTGGTAATTGTAGTAAATAATTAGTTATAAATTATTCCAACATTAATCTTTTAAAATCAAATGAATAATTATCTACAAATGATAACTAATAATTTATAAAATTATTTTTTAGACTAAATTATCAGTTCAATTTATATATATATAGAAAAAAAAAAAGAATTCTTAATTGAGTTACCAAAATAACAATGCTAGCATTACTTAAAATTCAATTTTTTTTTTTTTTTACTATAAGTGTATATTGACTTGATTTTGTCTCAAATAATTTTGATGAATCGGTTTGATAAATAAAAAAGTATATTTTATTTTTTTGGATTAAAATTTTAGAGTCATTATTTATGAACGTTTATTAAATTTTTCTAAATATATCTTATATTGTGAAATTATGAATATATCTTTTTGAAGTTTTTTCAAAATTTATTGATATAACAATTACATTGTTTTGTATTTTAATTTTCTCTATCAAACAAACATCTGAAATATATTTTTCAGCAATTTTTTCATATAATTGTCAAACGGTAAAAAAAATTTTTTTTGAAAAATAATTTCCTGAAAAATAGCCTCTGCAAGAATTGATTTTCTTATAGATGTTGTTTTCCACCAAACAAAAGGAACCATAACCATAATTATTTTTTCCTCAGTTCACAAGAAAATAGTATTTTGATGAGAGAAAATTAAGATGGACGACGAAAGAACGTATTATAACTTAGTCTTTGTATAGATGGACGAGGAAAGAACGTATTATAACTTCGTCCTTGTATTTTATTAAAAATACGTAATTAGTTCATGTGATATAAAAAGAATTGATTGTTCATTTGATCAGTGTAACACTTATTTCCAATCCAAAATTGCCTTCCTATCTTAACGACAACTCTCTTCTTCTTCTTTTTTCCCTACTTTTCAAAAAAAAAAAATAATAAATAAAATAAAACAAAATAAAATAAATCAAGTATATAAAATTGATAAAACATTAAACTATATGTTAAGAAAGATTATATTTTGTTGCTTCCACTTTTAATATAATTAGTTATATCTCTAATGTAGAATGAGAATACCGAAAGAAAACTATGTATGAAAAAACAAAAATACAGATATAAAATATCTAGCTTCTAAAACCATAAGTGCTAATTAAATATCTCGTTGTATTCCTCCATCAATATCCCTCCTAATATTTGAATATAATATCTCTATGTCAAAATTTCAGATCTTAGGGTGTCCCTTGAAAACTTATTAAATGTTAAAATCCATGGTACAATGAAGGCTCACATTATTTGTATTCCTAGCTAGCCAACCTTGACTAACTAATCGGTAATCTACTTTAAGTAGTGGGTTATCTTGGGAGATTTAATTCGGTTCGTTATAATATATTATCAATTATTTAAGGTTTGAATCTGAAGAAAAACTGAAAAAAAAAATCATAAATATGTAAGTGTAATTATGAAAGATATACTAATTATTAAAACTTGATCGGATACAATCTCATGCAGCTAGACGCGAGAAAGCTAACCTGAACGCTCGATATATCTTAAACAAGATTTTTTGGCATTCAGACCTTATATTTTTTAAATTTTTAATTAAGGTCCTCTATTTATTTATTTTTGTATGATTAAAATCTTTTATTTTTTGAGATTTATTGCTTCGGGCTCTCTAATATCACGTTACTAATCAGTAATCGACACGTAATCGATATTTTTTATTTTATAATGTTATGTGTAGTGACATTATAATAGAAAATTTGAAACAACAAAATTTTAAAGAGTAAAAAATCTCAATCAATATATATATATATATATATATATATTCAATTAAAAAAATCAAAAAATATAATATCTAAATTTGAAGCAAACGTTATCTTAAACATAAGAACAAAAGAAGAATTATCACATATTTGATTAATCGAAGTTTAACTCTCTTGAAACAAATAATCATAATAGCATTCACTATGCACTCATATATACATACTGAAGAATTGAATTATAGCCCGTCTTTTTTTCATTTTTCATTTTTGATAGTATGAATAAATCAACCTTAAGAATTGAGGAATACTAACCATAATCTCTGTGTATCAAGTTTTTAAGAAATAAAAACTATAGTTTCATTTTGGCGAGTCGAATAAATTATGTATAACAAAGCAAAGATGAAAAATAATTCTACAACCAATAAATAAATAAATAATAAACAATAGCCTGTAAATATAATATTATATGGTCCTCCATCGGGCTCTTCATTACGGTATTGACCTGTAACCATAAAAAGGAAAATTAATTAAGACTGGATATTACTGTATCATAAGCTTCCAGATCTATAGAGGATTTTATAATTAGATAGGTCAATCACATCAAGCAAGGAGTATTGTGTTTTTCATACTCACACATATTTAGAAGTACGCCTACCACATTTATGTTGAGATGGAAATTTAAGATATGGTTACAAATATAATTAATTAGACATAAATATATAAATTTTGCCTATATATGATTTATTTATCTTTTGAATTGTTTTAATTGAGAACTTGTATTTTTTTTGCATTGATTGAGTACTTCTATTTTCTTTTTAATTTTGTTTATGTCACTTTGTTATAACATTATTAGTTGTGAATTAATGTGATGCCGACGCAGTGTGTACATTTCTAAAAGTATGACCCATGTCATAAATGAAATTTCGATAAAATAACTCAATCAAGACAATTCAAAAAAATATTAAACTTCAATTAAAAAAATTCAAAAAATTCATATATCAAATTATTATTATTATTTCTTTTTTAAGTTTTATATTATTATGTTTTTAAGAGCTCATCTCAAATGCTACAAAAAAAACTTATCATTTGTGAGGCCCATCATAATGGAACTTTGAAGAGTATTTTTTTTTCTTTAATAATTTAAAAATAATAAAGTACATACAAAACAAACATAACACAAATTTTTTTTTAAAAAAATAGAGTGCAAATATCTTTGTCAATATTAAAATAAAACATCGATAATGCCGACTAATAGTTAACTCGTCTATATTAAAAAAAATTTGGTGCAATATCAAATTTTATTGACATAACAACTCCATTTTTCACTTTAAATTGGTCAAATATTTAGATTTTTTTAATAGAGAATTAAATTCATTAGCTAGGAGTTTGTGCTTGATCGATATTGTGCATCGTCTTATTTTTGTTTCAATAATTA